ATTATAAAAGTGAAAATTCATTGTCTAAAATTTAAGCCATATATTTTGTAATTTTTTTTTAAATATAGCTAAAATTATATAAATATATATTTATGTTAAATTAATAATATATTTTTTAATAATTATGAATTCATGAAAATAATAACAAAGAAAAATTATAAAAAAAAAATAAATTAAATTAATTATTTGTTATATAAGTTGATATTATGTGTAAAAGTATAAGCACAATTTTTTAATAAAATTAAATTTATATTTCCTTATAGTTTTTTATTTTTTTATGTTTATAAATAATTTGATGAATTATATATATACCTTAATTTAATTTTTAAAATGTCTTTGGAGAATTAGTAACAATATTAATAAAATGTAGAAACTGTTTTGAAAACACATTTTAAATTCTATTTCATTACTTATTATTAGACCTTAATTAAAACATTTACTTTTATAAAAGTATATGTTTTTTATTTAATCTCTTTTTTTTTTTTTTTTTTTTTTTTTTTTTTATTTATTTATATAAATTAAATTTTCCAATTATTACCTTATTATTTGTTTAATTAGTCTTCTACATTTTTAAAATTACAAAATCTAATTATTATTTAAATCAGTTGATAAAAATAAAAATTTATGACTAAATATTATACTTTTATATTGAAAAAAGGTTAATTATTATTATATTTTTTTTTTTTCATAAATTTTTGGAAAATATATCGAAATGTTCAATACCTTTTAATAATTGTATTGAAATTTATTAATTTTTTAATTATATCAATTTTTCATATTATAATTTAATAAATACATTTTTTTATTATTATAATCGAAAGTTTTAGAAAAATGATTTGCTTCTGTTTTATCAAGCACATAATTAATTTTATTGTATACATTATTTTTACTACTATCACAATCGAAATAAGAATCTAAAGGTGTTGTGTTTCTCTTTTTTATTTCATTTGAGCATACTTGATTATTCATTTTTGCTTCATATTCATTTGTATTTTCATATATTAATTTTAATTTTCTTGGTTTATTAATATCATTTACAATTTCAGTATTTGTTGTATTACTATTTAGGGCCATCGGATTTACTATTATATTTTGATCAGTTTTTTCTGATACTATACCATTTCTAAATATATAATTATGATTAATATCATTGCTATAATAATGTATATTTTTAATTTTGTCATTTATATTTGCGTCATAAGTAATCACGTTGTTCATATAGCTAACTTTGCTGCTATGAGGAATAATATTTTCACTTATATAATTATATTTTTTTATCTTCATATCTTCTGAATTATATGAGCTATTATTTTTATTATTTTTATCATCCAAATAAAAAAAATTCATTTTATGCATTTTTCTACATTTAAAATTATCAAGTTGATAATGTTGTATTTTCTTTAAACTTAAATCATCTGTGTGATAAGCTTTTATGTAATTATTTTCATAATATTTATTTATATTGCATTTTCTATTTTCCATTTCATTGTCTGTTATTTTCATATACTTATTTTCTTCTATTATTTTTTGATTTTTATTTTTTTTATTTTCTTTTTTTATTTCTTTTATTTCTTCTTTTTCTGTCTCTCCTTCATTTCTTTTTTTAACTTCATCTTCTTTTACTTCTACATTCTCTTTTTTATCAATATAAATATTAGGCAGATGATTATTTCCATAAAACATAGTGTTATACATTTTGTTATCCATATTTTTTTCTTTATTGTCCTTATTACATGTATAATTATTAGAGATTCTTGCATTATTTTGTTTTTTTAAATTCATCTCATTACTACACTTATACATTTCAGTTTTATCTCTTTCATTATTTGGATTATCATTATTATTATAATTTTTTACATAAAATAATTTGTTATCAATTTTTCCATAAGTTTCAAAACATTTTTCTGAATTTATTTGCTTATTATTAGGACTTATATTTAAGGTATATGGATCTCTAATTGTAGAATTATTAGGAAAAATAAAATTAAAATTTTCTGTTTTTACTGAACTATTTTTTGAATGCTCATTTTTTAAATTATCGTGAACATAAGACTGAGCAATGGTATCAGTTTTATTTAATTTTTTATAAATATCTGCTGTGTAATTTTCATTATTTATATAATTGTTTCTTTTTACATCACAGTTAAAATTACTTGAATTTTTTTTATTACAACTTAATGTAGATAAGTTCATATTATTAAGATCTTTAGAAAAGAAATTGTGAATATTATTCTCACTATTTTTTGAATTTGTTAATTTCTTAAAATTATCTTTATTGATATCATTATTAACTATATATTTTTTTTCTATATTTTTCGTTTCATTATGTGTTAAAATGCTCTTAATTGAATTATTTATATTTTTTTTTAAAGATATAGTATTATTTGAATTAAAATGCTTATTATCTTGTCCATTAATTTGTAGATTACTTTTATTTAATTTAAATTTATTAAATAAGGGTAAATTATTACTATTGAGTGATGATACATTATTATTATTACTCTTTTTTTTATCTTTATTTTTATTGTTATTATTATCAATTTTTACATTATCATAGAAAAAATCCTTCATATATGTTTTTTGTGAGTCAACGAGAATTTTGTCATAACGATTTTTTAGTATTTCTAATTTTTTTTTATTTTCTTCTAATGCGCTAATATGGCTAGCGTTACTATTTATATCATTATTGTTTTTTATTTTTATATCTTTCTTTAATTTTTTCTGCTTTAATTTATTTTCTAATTTTTTCTCAAAACTTAACCAGCTTTTCTCTATTTCTGTTATTAAATCATTTTTGCCTACCTTTTTTTTGTTATCCAAAATTTCTACATTATTTTTATTACAATTTCTAATTTCATGGTAATTTTGATTGTATAATAAATCTTCTTTATTTGTTCTACTATCTGTAAAACCTTCATCCATTATATGTTTTTTAACATTATTAAGCTTATCAAATTCAATATAATAGGTAAATTTTCCTTTATGATTTTTTCCAATAATTGTTTTATTTTTTAAATTATTGTAACAGCAATTTTCACTAATAGATCTTCCTCTTTCATTATTAATATTAAAATTTAACCTACTGTATTCTGTATTTATATCTTTGTTACTTAAATCATCTTGTGAAAATTCACAATTACTTTCATCTTCATTTTTTTCATCATTTAAATATACTTTCTTTTTATCTATTATTTCATATGTTCTTGTCTTATATCCTGCTAAATTGTGAAAATTTTTGACTTTATTTATTACTAAATTATTTATTCCTATGTTATTAACAAAATTATTTTTTTTATTCAAATTCTTTACTTCCAAACACTTTAGATTTAATAGATTGTTTTGATTTTTTTTTAAATCATTATTATCTTTTTTACTTTTTGTTGAATTCACTGAAAATGATTTATCATCACTATTAATATTACTTATAAAATTTTTCATATTCTTTGTACTTAAAGAGCTTAAAATTGTAAAATTATCTGGAGATACTTTATTTTTATTGTTATTTCCTTCTAAGAAATACTCTGATTTGTGTATTTTATTTAGTTCAAAAATTTTTTTTTTTCTATATGCATTTTTTGCTTTTATTAATGAAGATCCCTGAACGCTAATTTTGTGATTTGTGTTATTTAAATTATATGAATTACTTTTGGGATTATATGGGTTGCTTATTTTTTTTATTTTCATATATTTTATTAACTTTTCTTTTTTTTTGTCTATAACATTTTTTATATTATTGTCATCTTGTTTATTTTTAAGGATGCTACTAAATACTTTTTTTTTATTAACATTCATGCTAAAATTATAAAATTTACTTATAACTTCATTTTTATTATCTCTCTTATTTTTCTTTTCTCTATTTTTTTCCATTACATGTTTTTTCTTATTTTTAATTGTATTATTAGAATTACTATCTTTACTACTTATTAATTTTGTTGAGAAACCATAATTTCCTTTATTATTGTCTGTATTTTTTATATATTCATTAGAGTTTTTATTTTCAAAATGATGATTTATTATATAATTTTCACTTATTCTTTTTTTTTTTTTACTTTTTTCTCTATTGTAATCCTTCTTTTTCTTATCACAAATAGTATCTTTCATATAAATATCATTTTTTGTTTTTTTAATGTCTCTCCTTTCTTTATAATTATTTTTAATTTTATTTTGATACGTTAAAACATTATTATACTTTTCATTATATTCACACTCATCTTCCACTTCTTCATTCTCATATTTTTCTTCATGAAGCTTTACTTCCGCATCTTCATATTCTTCATTTTTTTCTTCATACTCTTCAATAGCTCCATTCTCTTCAATCTCACCTTTTTTCTTTGACAATTTTACTTCCGGTTTTATATATTCATCATAATTATTAGAATTGTATTTATTTTGTTTTTCATCTTTTTGATTATCTTCCGCTTCTAATGTTTCATCCTCATCTATTTCTTCTTCTTCTTCTTCAATATTTTCATATTCATCATTACAATAATTATAACTATTATCCATCGCGTCTTCATATACATTATCATAATCATTATAATTTTCTTCTTCCTCGTCATCTTCGTCATCTATTTCTTTTTGATGCTTATTACTTTTATTATACACTTCTTCATCCGTTTCTATTTCATATTCTATTGTATGTGTTTCAATAAAGTTTATAATACTTTTTTTATTTATATTTCCATTGTTATTGAACCATAAATATTTTTTATTATTTGGAATTTTTACTTTTTCTTTCACTTTTTTAATACTTGATTTATTTAAATTCCATTGCAATAATAATGAGTTAAAAGATGTGAATTCATAATCATTATAAATATTTTCTATTCCCTTGTATGTATTTATCACTTCATTTAATTCATTTTCATTAAAATCTTGATTTTTATTAATGTTTTGTTCTACAAAATCATTACACATATTTTTCTCATTTTCGTTTAATTTTTCATTGTCTACAGTATTATCATTGTCATTATAATCATATTTTTCTATATGTTCATTAAGTTTCATAAAATCTATTTTATTTTTTGTATATGGAAAATTATTAAAATAAAATTCTTTTATTTTTTTTAGTCTTTTCTTACTTTCATATTTATTGGTAATATACTGAAAAAAAACAAATTTTTTCAAAAAATTTAATTCTTTTTTTAATTTTTTTATATCTTCATACATATATGAATTGTAATTTTTATTTTCAAATTGTATCTTTTTTGCCTTTGCAGCCAACTTTAATGAAGATAATGTATCACGTACATTATTTATAGAAGGTGATATAGTGCAAATAAAAATAGTTTTACTAGATCCACCTAAAGACCCTTGAAGTAACCGAGTTAAAATTGAATTTCTATAGCTGATGCTTTTGTTTCCTTTTGATAATTCATTTATACATAGTGATAAAGCAGATAAACTTCTATTTATGGAGCAAACTTCTGTTGTATATTGTTTTTCATTAGATGCTTCATATTTTTCGTTTCCAGCCAAATCTATTAATAATAAATTGCCGGATTTAAAATTTTCGGGCTTAGAATTATTTGAATTTCTTAATTCTATTTTAAATATGGAATGAGATCTTGTTGACATTTCATTGGTTTTTGTGATTCTACAAGCTCTATTGCTTGTTCCATCTATCAATAATTCAATTAGTTCTTCACATGTGGTTACCTCTACAGTTAATAAACCAGAAACAAATGTAGTATTATTGGTAAAATTTGACTTTAATGTACTTAAATATGGTTGTGATTCATTATAAGGGTTTAACAAATCAAATATTCTATCATTGTACAATTGCATATATGACGCATACACTTTTACATTTTTAAAAATATCTTTCGTTTTGTGATCATCTTCATATTCGTCAGTACTATTTTGTTCCCATTTAGTTTTCTCTACAATATTTTCTTCACATGATTCCGTTTTTTTTGAAGATTTTAATAATGATAATCTCTTCATTATTTCTTCACATGCTCTGGGTATCATACCTTTTTTTTCTGAATTTAAAACTAATTGTATTTCATCTTTAATACTTTTAGCATTAGATTTGTATTCACTCCTATATTCAGAAAATGTTTTATAATTTTCATATTTTGTGTAATTATTTTCATTAATGTATTCTAAGTTGGATTTATTATTATATCTTGAATTAAGAACACTATATGCATCATTTATTCTCTTATAATTTGTGGAATTTGTGCTTACTAAAGGCATTATTCTTGGTGGTAAGTTAAATAGTGGCTGAGAACAAGATCTTTTCCTATCATAAAAAAAATTATTACTATTACTGTTGCTATTATTATTTAAGAGCTTTAAGCTGTTTGTATTTATTAATAAATCATTTGGTTGAATTTTTTTTATGGAAAATCTAATTCTCTTCTTTTTTTTCTTAATTAATTCCATAATATCTGGACCTATCATAGTGTATGTTTTTCCAGTACCTGTATGGCCATGAGCAAAGACAGTAGCATTTTTAAAATAAAAAATAGAATCTATACAAAAACAAATGCTTTTCCAAACATCTAATTGTGTACTTCCTTGGTTGAAGACCTTATCAACCAAAAATTCACATTTTTTGTTTTCACCTTTCATTCCATAATCAATTAATATTTTGTTTGCTCCTTTTTGTGTAATGGCATTTTCAAATTCTGTTTCCATTGAATCTGATGGCTTAATTCTTATGCACGTTTTTATTTGAGATTTATTCCAATTAATATCTAAATTATTTTCTGAGCTTTCTTCATAACTTTCTAATATATTTGCACTTTTTTCATTTGCTTCATTTGAAATTAAATCATTAGTATATTTTAAAGAATCATGTCCATTTTTATTTGTTTCATTTTCATTTATTTTATCTTCATTTATTTCATTTTCGATTATATCTCTTTCATTTATATCATTTTCGATTATATCTTTTTCATTTATTTCATTTTCTTTATTTATATTTTGTTCATCTATATTCTTTTTATTTTCACTTAATTTATCAGCATCAACTTCATTTTTAATTGTTTTATTTTCACTTATTTCATATGTACTTATTTCATTTTCATGAAATTTTTCTTTAAATTTCTTTTTATTTTCTTCACATTGATGATAGAACAATTCATCATGTTTATCACTGAAATTTTTAGTTTCAAAAGAATATTCTGTTGCATTTTCCGCATCATTATTATCTATGCTTAATGTGCTTTGCTTTGAATATTCTTTATATTTATTTTTTTTATAGGAATTTTCATAATCACTATCAAATTCAATTGTTACACTTTTATCATACATTTTGCATTTTTTTGTATTATCATTGAAATCATCATGATTATGATTAAGACCTTCTACTTTTTTATTAATTAAATCTTCTGAAAATAAATTTGATGAATAAAGATTTTCACATTTTTGTTCATTCTGTTTGTCCATGTTAGTAATGTATTTTATTTCAAAAAAAACAAAGGTTTCAAGCTCTTTTTTCTATTTGTAGGTAGGTATTATTTATTATAAAAAACAGTTAATTGTATTTTACTAAGTTAATATATTTATTAAAATTTTAAGTGCATTAAAAATAATTGTCCATAGTATTTAATTTTGCAAGATTAAATTTAAAAAAAAAATTCATATTTTAATATCACTGATTAAAAATGCTCATGATTCGTATGTTAAAAAACAAGAAGGAAAAATAAAAAAAAAAAAGGGATATATATAAAAAGGTAATTTATTTATATTAAAAAGGTAAAAATAAAGCAATAATTAATTATGAATGTTAAATAATTCAACAATTTAGTGTGTAAAAAAAGAAACAAATATAATAAATCTTAACCATTAGTACAAGTAAACTAATAAGTGTAAAATTATTTTTTAGCTATTTCTGTTTTTTTTTTTTTTTTTTTTTTTGACCTAATGCATGATTCTTGCTAAAAATATGCAAACTTCCACATTTGTTTATAGCACAAATAAAATTTTATCTTCATAATTGAAATCCCATTTTATTTAAAACAAATTTATAAAACCTTGGAAAGTAAATAATTATTAGAATTGTTAAATAGTAAACATATATATTATCTTATTTACACACATTAAATTTTATTTTTTTTTAAATTTAGAAATTAATCGTCAGAGTTATTCTTTGTTCAGGAAAAAAAAAATAAAATATTTGATTATATTTTACTTTATGAACAGTGTATATGATTCTAATAAAATAAATAAATAACCTAAATAAAAATGAAAAACAAAAAACAAAAAAGTATATTATTTTATTTTCCTTGTTATATTAATAAAAATTTTAAAATCTCAATAAATTGCATTTATGTAAGCTGTTTTTTTTTTTTTTTTTTTTTTTTTTTTTTTTTTTTTTTTTTTAATATATATAATATGCATCTTAAGTTTAAAACTTTTTAAAAATAAAAAAAAATTATTTAAATACAAACCTACATGGCATAGCGTAAAAAATAAATGTTTTTAAAAATTTCATATGAAAAAAAGAAATATATTTTTCTTTTTCTATTTATTGTTCTATTTTAAAAAGAATATATAGACCTAATAAAAAAATTTTAATGGAAAATTGGAAAATATAAATATATTGTGTGTTTTGTGCATATTTACTAGGTTCCTGTTTTTTTTTCTTTTAACATTTTCATTTTTTTTTTTCTATTTTATATAGAATGTTAACATGTTATTAGAAAAAAGAAATAACATTTATAATATTATAATATATTATAAACTTATAATTTTGATGTTACTAGGAACATTTGTTTTTAAAAAAGAATAAAAGTACTTAATATAAATAAGGGAAATTTATGATAATATAAAATGTTAAAGCATATAAAGTATATTCTAAGATAGGCATATGCATATGAGACATCTTTTTTCTTTGTATAATAAATATAAAATAAAATATTTCATTTATAAGAAATTTTGAGATAAAATTTAATTTATTTAAAAATTGTTTATTTACAAAAAAAATAATTACAAGTAGCAACTTTGAAAATATATCAACATAAACAATTCTGAAAAAGAATAAAAATATCATGATCATAACTTTAAATATAATTTCATTCGAAAAAAGTTTTTGAATACTACAAAAAAGAAATGTTAACATTATTTGGAAATATCATTTTTATTTATATTTCATAAATTTTACTGTAGTTGTAAAATTATCCTTAAATCTTTATAAGTATCTTTTCATTTTTTTAAAATTAAATATCATTAAATTTAATATTCACTTTGTTTTTTTATATAAAATTAAAGGAAAAAAAAAAAATTTCTTTTTGTAAATTTTGAAAATTATAAAACTTCGATGGCATTACTAATGAAAATTTAGTACACATTATATTTATTCTTTTTTTTTTTTGCAAAAGTTTTCAGTTTTTATCATAATTCATGTCTTATTGAAGTATATATATATATATATATATATATATATATATATATATATATATATATATATAAAATATTTATATGTATATTTTTCAACGTCTACAAATTTGTTTGTTACATTTTATATATTTTTAAAATTATTTATGGAAAAAAGAATATGTATAATTTTAAAAAATCACAAAGTTAAATGATATTTATTTTAAATATGAGGAAGCTCGCATTTTTTTTTTTTTTTTTTTTTTTTTTTTTTAAAGAACGAATAAAAGTAGCTATATTCTACACGTTCTTACGTTTTTTTCTTATTTTCTTTTTAATTTATGAATATAATTTTATAAGATAGACTATTTTATATATTAATGTTTGTTATTTTTACTAAATTTTACGATTTTTTTTATAATTTAATTTGTATTTTAAGTTCTTTCAAATATATTAAGATATTTATTTTTTTCATTTTTGATTTACTTTATCAATATTTTGCTCCTGTTTACCTTGATTTTTTTAAATTTATATTTTTTTTTTTTTTTTTTTTTATTATTTTATTTATATTTTTTTTTTCATTTTTAACAGTTGTTTTATAATTTAATTCTTAAATATTCTTTCTTTTTTTTTAATATTTTAAAAAATGGATGTTTTAAATAAGGATTTTTCAAGTGCTTGTTTAAATAGAGACGATTATTTGAATAATGAAAACGATGTAATTAACATAGATAAAAAAAAAATAATAAATCATGATATTTTTAATAATATAAGTTCTTCTAATAAAGCTAATAATGTAAGCAATAACAAGAACCATGTAAATAAAACCCAAATCATAAATAGGGATAATAAAACAAATAACATAAATGATACTCATAATAAAATTCATTATAACGAAATAAATAATTTTTGCAATACCAAAGAAGAGTTAAAAAAAACAAATAATGAAGTAGAGATAGTATATTCTTATGTAATTAATGATTCTAAAAATATTAACTCCAATAATGAATTAATAACTATAGATATATCATTTGATGAAGATAAAAAATATATTTTTAGAAAAACAATAAAAAAGTTACCTTTTTTTAGATATGGACATTTTTTATGTTTAACAAAAAATGGGTGCGTATTAGCAATTGGTGGTACAGATGGAAAAAAAAAGTATGGAATTGTTGAAAAATATTGCCAAGAAAAAAAAAAATGGAAACAAATAAATATAATGCACTTTTCAAGATCTAATTTTTGTGGTGTATGTACTGATAATAATGATCTTTTTATATTAGGGGGAGAAGGTGATCAAAGTATTTTAAAAAGTGTTGAGTATTTTGACAGCAAAATTAATGCATGGAGATCATTACCACCTCTTAATTGTGTAAGACATTCAGCAAGTGCAATTATTTTTCAAAATTTTCTTTTTATTATTGGAGGTAAAGATGGAATTGGAGATTATGGAAAAGTTCATAAAAGTGTAGAAATGCTAAATTTAAATGAAAAAAATATGAAATGGGTTATGTGTAATCCTTTAAAACAGGCACGTCTTGGGCTAGCTACAATTGTTTTTAAGAATAAAATTTATGCAATTGGTAAATAACAATAAAATATCTAAAAATTTTATAAGATTATCTTTGAGATAGATTTTTATATTATACTCATTTTTTTTTTTTTTTTTTTTTTTTCTTTAAAAGGTGGATCTACTGGTGTAAAGAATTTGAGTTCTGTTGAAATTTATGACTTAAATACAAATAGTTGGATAGAAGGTCCTAATTTGAATTTTGCTCGTTCGAATTTAGTTGCTTTTACTTGGAAAAATCATTTGGTTGTATATGGAGGCATAAATAAACAGAAAGGAGTAACTTTATTTATACAATTTATATGTTTTAAACTTCAAATTCATTTTATATACTTTATTGATTGCTTAAAATAATATAAAAAGATACTATTCTCCTATAACGCATATATGTATACGTATTTTTTTTTTTTTTTTTAAGGATCTTATTAACAGCGCTGAAATATTAAATGAAAAAACATCATGTTGGATTTTATTAAATGAAAATGTAATGAGAAAATTTAGTAAATAGTTTATTGTTTTAAAGAAGATAAATTCTATTCTTAATAAAATTATATTATTTTTCAATGAAAAAGTTATTTTTAGACAATTTTTAGGTTTTTCAAATTTCACTTCATTTTTATTTGAATTTTTTTATTTTATATTATTATATTTTAGTTATATTTAATCTCACTTTTATTTCATTTTTCTTAGGATAAAGCATAATCTAAGGATTCCTCTATTTATTTATTTTATTTTACTTTTTTTTTTTTTTTTTTTTTCTTTCATTTTTATTTAGTTTTATTGTTGGATTTAACATTTCATTTATATAACGATTTATAGGCTTTTAGTGTATGATAAAGTTTTTAATATAATGAAAGTTTATTATTTATCAAAATATTTTAATTTACAATAAAAAAAAATAAAATTTTTTTTTTTTACATTTTGAACTTAAAATTATTTATTTTGAATTCACATTTGTACTTGTATGTGTTTATTTTATTTAACATGTAGAATATATTTTTATTAAATATTAATATTTTTTTTTTTTTTTTTTTTTTGTTTTTATATAAAATTGCCGATTTTTGCATATATAATTATCTGTAAAAAAAATAAAGAAAAAAATAGAAAATAAATTTTCTTTTATATAGTTTTATCTTTTTTTATTTTTCTTTTTGTTATTATATTTATATGATTTATTATTTATACTTTTACTTTTTATTAATAATAATTCTCTTCCTATTATTTTTTTTTCTTCTTTTTTTTTGATTGTTATTAACTTTTGAAACATCAAAAAGTAAAAATTTTTTAAAGTATAATTATTTTAATTTTTAATCTTTTTTTCTCCACATTATCTTATAAAGAAAAATGATAAATAAAGATTTAGATAAAATATAATATGAAATGGTAAAAAAAAAAAAAAATTATTAAAAAGTAGAAATTCTGAAAAATGCATTAAACAAAAATATAAAACTTTCAATGAAAAATATATCTTTTAAAATTATAGAATAAAACAAAAATAAATGAAATGAGTTTATCCGAAATGTTCTATAAAGAAATTAAATTATAAATGATTTCATTTATTTTTTTATATTAAAAGAAGATATAAACTATATTATTCTAATATATTTTTTTTTATATAATTTAGGAAAAAGATAAAATGGATTATAAGTTTATTTTGAAAAAACAAGAATTATATGTCAATATCGACATGAACAATAAGGTAATAGAAGGAAATACTGTCATGAATATATCACTTAATTTACCTATATATTATTTGTATGATGAAATTGATTTTATGAAGAATAATTATGATTTAAAAAGAATAAAAATTATTAAAGGAGAAAAAAAAGAAAAAGAGGAAAAAGAAGAAAATGAAGAAAAAGAGGAAAATGAAGAAAAAGAAGAAAAAGAAGAAAAAGAAAATAAAAGGAACACAAAAGAAATATTTCTTGAGGATGACGAAGCTTATATTAATTTTCAAAAAAAGAAAAAAGATAAAAAATTATTTATGGTTGTTCATATTCCAAATAACATTCATTCAAGTAAGTATTATGATATTAAATTAAATGAAAAAGATGAAAAAAGATATTATATAATATATAATAGCTTAAAAGAAAATTTACATGTTTTCGAAAAAAAAAATGAAAATAATGAATACGATAATGACGGAAATATAAAACCTTTAACAAAAAAAAAGAAAAATTCAAAACTAATTAAAATGAATAAAAATAAAAAAATAATTTCCTCATTTCAAGAAAAGGATTCTAGTTACAGCAAAGATCTTTCTATAAATGAAAAAATGTCATTAAAAAATAAAATGAACTCTAATAATTATTTAACAAATATCACAGACAGTGGAGAAGAAATAAATAATGAAAATATATGTCCATATAATGAATCAGTAAATATAAAATCTTTTAAATACCACCATATTGAAACAAGAAAAGAACAAAGCACAAAAAAGGAAGTAGAGCAGACATATACAGGAGATCATTATGAAAATGATATAGTAAAAAATGAATATATAGGAGAAAAAAAAAAAAAAAAAAAAGATATAAACGAATATGTTTTAAAACAAGACAATATGTGTAATAATAAGTACAAAATAGTTAAAAACGAAGAAAATATGTGTAGAGAAGAGCAACCAGAATTATATTTTAAAGAAAAAGGAAGTAAAACAGAAGATATAAAAGAAAAAAAGCTGATAATAGATAGAAAAAAAAAATATAAAGAAAAAAAAACAAAAAGAAAAAATGAAATAGAAGATAAAGAAAGGGATAAAGATAATAAAAAATTTAATGAAAAAGATACTGATGAAGACGAAAAAGAAAATTATGAACGAAAAAAAGGAGAAGGAAGTAGAGAAGATGAAGAAGAAGATGAAGAAGAAGAAGAGGAAGAAGAAGAAGAGGAGAAAGATGAAGATGAAGAAGAAGAAGAAGAGGAAGATGAAGAAGAAGAGGAAGAAGAGGAAGAGGAAGAAGAGGAAGAGGAAGAAGAGGAAGAAGAAGAAGAGGAAGAGGAAGAAGAGGAAGAAGAGGAAGAAGAAGAAGTAGAAGAAGAAGAAGAAGAAGAGGAAGATGAAGAGGAAGAGGAGGAGGAAGATGAAGAAGAAGAAGAAGAAGAGGAAGAAGACGAAGAAGAAGAAGAGGAAGAAGACGAAGAAGAAGAGGAGGAAGAAGATGAAGATGAAGATGAAGAGGAAGAGGGAGAAGAGGCAGAGGAAGAAAAGGAGGAAGATGAAGATGATAATAAAAATAACAATGGTGAAAAAAATTGTAACATAAATGATTATATTAATGTGAAAAGTTTGGGTGAAGAAGAACTAGAAGAATATAGAAATAATGAAATAGGAGAAAATAAATATGAAAGATACCATAAAGCAGAAAGCAATAGAAGCGAAAAAAAGTCAAAATTTTATTATAATGAAAATTATGAAAAAAATAAAATTAAAAAAGACAAAAAAAAAAAAAGGAAGAAAAAAAATAATTTTGATATTATAGATTTTCTTTCTTTAAATAAATATATAGATGAAAATAATTTAAAGGAAGATAGCTATATGTTCATAGCAATAAATGAAGAAATTTTCAATAGAGAAAAGGAAAGAAATTATGAGAAATTTCAAGATTTTTGTAAAAATGATACTATTTTAATAAATAAAAAAGAACAGTATAATATAAAAATAAATATAACTGTGAATATAAATTTTAAGTTTTTCAATTTAACTTCATATTATAATAAAGTGTATTTTAAAAATAATGATAATTTACTTATAACATTGCAAAACTATGCTAAAGGTAATACTTGGTTTCCAACATTATCTAAATTTGATAGTGTTTATTCAAGATGTTCATGGCTATGTGTATTTAAAATTTCTAAACCTTATTTTGTTATTTCATCAAACAGTTTGATAAATATTTATGAAATGTTTGATAAAAATTGTTTTGTTTATAAGACTACAAATAAAAAGAGTAAACTTTTTCCTGATCAAATTGGTTTATTTGCTGGTAATTTTATTTTTTTACATTTAAATAATTTAAATTTTAAAGATTTTCAAAAAATTGATTATGAGTTTTTATATAAAAATGAGTTTTTTTCTAAAAGTGGTAAGATACATTCCACTGAACAATATAGTAAATCAAAAAATAAAAGTAATGCAAATAAAAATAATCCTGATATGTTGAAAAACAAAAAAATGAATTTTAGCGAACATCATAAGCAAAATGTAAATTCTTCATTAAAAAGAAAATATAGTTCTTTAAACAATTTAAGTAATGATTATTACAAAGATATAAATGATATGGGTATTGATAAGGATGAAAATAATGATGAGAATAATGATGAAAACAGAGAAAAAAAAAAAAAAAAAAAAATATTATTGAATGAAAATGATATTTACAATAAAAATAATTATAGAGATAATGTTACAAATGAGGAATATTACAACGTAAAGAAAAATTTTTATTTAAATGATTATGAATTAGAAGAAAATTGTAATAGTATTAGCACAACATATGATTATCTTATAAAAAATAATATTAAAGAAGAGAAATATAATTATTATGAAAAAATAAATAATAAAATTGTTCCAAATATTTTTGTATTTTCTATAAAAAATTATGAAAATGAATTAATTTATTCTAATCTTCATATAGGTCATATATTAAAATGTTTTTTTGATATTAGTAAAGAAAGTTTTCCTTATGATAACTTAATAATATTATTTATTCCTTTAAATTTTTCTAATTTTGAAAAATATTATAATTCAGAAAATATTGAATGTTCTATTAATTCTCACACATATGATGACATTAAAAATGGATATAATTTATTTTCTAATAGCAATATATTAAATTATAAAATAACAGAACCATATGTATATTTAAAAAATAATAAATATTTTATATTTGGAAATGTTATTATATTTTCAACTCAGATTTTACACAATATATATGATGTATTATTTAATATAAATATTTATAGTTATAAGATTATAATAGCTGAAGGAATTTTATCTTTATGGTTTGAATATTATAGTAACTTATTAAAAAATGAAAATATTTATTTTATTTATATGCTTAAATGCTTTGCTTTACAAAAATATATTGAAAATATATTTGGTATAGTTGAATTGAATGCGATTTTTTATGAGATAAGAGAAAGATATTGTTCATTGGTAGAAATTTTTGGAGACGTTAATTTATACCATTTTTACGAAAAAAATAAAAATAATGTATCAGAAAATTTTATTAGTCACTATGTTTTTAATAATATATTTTTTCTTAAATGCTTTTTATGTGTGAGAATATTTTTTAATATCCTTAAAAATTTTCCATTTTGTAATTCTATTCATCAATATTGTTTTTCATTATTTTTTACCTACTTCAAAAATAAGAAAAAAGTGATACAGTCTACAAAATTTTGGAAAAAAGTAAAAAAAGAAGAAAAAAAAAAAAAAAATTGTAAAAATATAATATAAAGTTATAATGATAAAACGTTGTAAAAATGTATTATAATTTAAATTTTTTTTTTTTTTTTTTTTCATCAGGTTTTTAATGAATGTACAAGGAGATATATAGAAAATTATAAGCAAATGCCAAAAAATAAATTTAAAATGAAAAAAGTAGACTTAAATATAAGTGAGTTAAAAAACGAGGAGCATGAACAATATCAATTATTTGAAAAATATTTTTATTATTTTTTTAAAACATATATTAAAGGATATGGTGTATGTCAATATATTTTAACATTTAATGTTCATTTGCAAAGAAAAGGAACATCAATGGATAGTTTTAATTTCCTAATTAGTCAAAACTCTATAAATCCATTTTACTTTGTTGATGAAAATTTTCATTCTAATTATTTTCTTTCTGATATCTCTTCAATGACCGTTTATGATTTGTTAGAATTGAATAAATATATTGAATTAAAAAATTTTATTAATGATTTCAATAAAGACAAAAAAATGAATAAGTATTTAGATAAAATATATTTTGATAAATTATTTGAAATTCCTTATATAATTGATTTTTATAACCTTGAAGAAAATTTTTTGTCATTTTTAAAAAAAAATTACTATCATATAGATCATTTTTATGAATATCCAATAAAAGAATTTAGTAAAAAATATGTTAAATATATTAAAAAACATATTGTAAAAAAAAATAAAAATTATTTCTTTATAAAAGAGAGAATAAAAAAAAAAAGTAATACGAAATATACACATATAAATAAAATGAATCATATAAAAAATATTAATAAAAAGATGGAAATTAAAGAAAGAGATATGGACACAAATATAAAAAGTGACGCTGATTTTGGAAATACTGATAGCTATCATAACAATATGAGTAAAAGTGATAAAAGAGAAAATAGTATGGAAGAGATTACACTTAAAGAAAGTGATAAAAAAGATAATGTTGACAATAATAAAAAAAATATTCTGAAAGAAAAAAATGAAGTTACTGAGGAAAACATAAATCAAAGGAAAAAAGAAAAAAAAAGAAAAGTTCAACTTGTGAAAAAAAAAAAAATTTTTAAGAAAAAAAAAATTAAAAGAAGTATTAAAAATAATAATAAATCAGTAGAAATCAGAAAAGAAAAATTATCAAAATACATAAAAATTAATAAAAATTATATATTAAAAAAAAAAAAAGAATTAATTAATTTGCCCTATTCTAATTTTGATAGTTTAGATTTAATTGGAAGAGATGGAAATTTTTATTTAGGTTTTGGTTATGTAGGTTCTGATGATTTAACGTTAAGCACAGGAAGAGGGAATTTATATAATAATATAATTGCCTTTCAAAAATTAAAAAATTGTAACATACAAAAATTAAGTGAATTATGTATAGACAAACATAATATTTATGAATATAATTCATCTCCTTTTTACACGGATTGCATATATCCCCAATGGAGAATTGTACTTCGTTTATATTATTATTTACAATTATTGAATAAAATTTATAAAAAAAAAAAGATAATAAATAAAGGGTACTCATTAAAACTAAAAAATAATGAAATAGATATTTTTAATGATGTTAAAAAAAACAAATTATACGAATTAAAAAAAAAGGATAAGAAAAAAAAAAAAAAAAAAAAAAAAATGAAAAAAGATAAGAAAAATAAAAAAAAAGAAATAAATGAAGATAATGATGATAATAACAATGATTTTCTTTCTTCTTATACCAAAGACAATTTTAGTACATTTAATTCCTATCAACATAAATGTTCACATAATACAGAAAATATATTAGTTGATGAAAAAAAAAAAAAAAGTATAAATATGATTAAAAATGTTACATATGAAAATGAAAAAAGTGAAATATGTACCCATTCTGATAATAAAGAAAAACATCAAGAATATGATAAGAAAAGTAATGAAGAATGTGATGAAAGCAGTTATGAAGTTTATGGGAACAATGAATATGAGGACTATGGTGGTAGGCACAAGTATGATGAACATAGTGAGAAGGTTTATGATAAATATGATAGTGGAACGGAAAAGTTAAAAAAAAAAAAAAAAAAAAAAAAAAAAAAAAAAAAAAAGAAAAAAGAAAAAAAAGAAAAAAAAAATATAAAAGATATATTAAATAATAAAAAATATGTTGAGAGTTATTTAAATCCATTTGTTTCAAACAATGTTCCTTCATCTGTTGATGAAAACAAATTTTTTTTCTGTCATTTAAAAATAGAAATAATAGAAGATGATGGAGTAAGAATTGTTAGAAAAAATTTAATCAATAACATAACACCGACAAGATTTAGTGTGAATGCGAGACCAGAGAAAGGAAGAAAAAAAGTTGCTTTTAAACATGAAGCTTTTATTAATAAAAGTGAAGAATATATAAGTAGAAATTCAATTGATATGCCGAATAATTTCATTAATAAAAATGTAAAGTTTGTAGGGGTTACTAATGATAGTGATAAATTTATGATTGAATATTGCAAACAAAAAATTATAAAAAAAGATAAATCTTTATTATGTTTAGATAACAGGAAATTGGTTGCTAAAATTTGTAGTAAAAATAAAATACCAATCTTATGGATAAGAATTGATAATGATTTTTTTATTCTTGGAAGAATAAGAAGATCACAAAGTATTAGTATGTGGATACAACAGTTATTTAATGATAATAATATTTTTTCTCAATTAGAATCTTCTTTTGCTTTAGCATATATTCCTTTTTTTTATTTAAACAAAAGTTTTTCCACTAATTTTAGTGAATATAAAAATAATGATAATTCTCAAAATGACAATAATAATAAAAAAGATAATATTGGGGAATCCTCTATTCATTTTATAAAATCTGTATTAAATAAAAGCAAATTAAAAAACAAAAAAAGTAATTTAAATTTTAATAATATAAACGCAAATATTTCTTCTAATGATGCTTTAAATAATGATCTATTAAATGATAGTTTTAATTTAGAGGAAGATACTAGTAAAAGACATCTGCTAAATAATAACAATGATTCTTTAATTCTTGGAAAAAAAAAAAATGCAAATAAAAGCACTAAAAAATTGATGAATAATATTATTGATTCTAATTTTATAGATCAAAATAATTTAGAAATTAATAACGATAAAGAAAAGTTAATTAACAATTTACAAAATGATTTTCCAAGTGATTTATTAAAAGATGGAAATCTAAGTAGTCAAACTAGTAGTTCTGGAAGTGAATCTGGTAGTTATTTTTCTAATTTAACAACCTCTACTATAGATGATTTTAATGAAGAATATAGTAGTTCATTATATAACTACACTAATATAAATAATAAAAGAAAAATGTACAAAAAAAAATGGAAAAATTATATTTCAATTACTAATATTCCAATAAATGTAGAAGTTATTAAATGTTTATATAAATCTCTTACTTGTGATTATTTGCATTATTTAGTTAAAATTAGATGTGTTTATTCGTTATGCTTTATTCATAACAAATATTTATGTACTCAAAAAATTATTCAAAATTTGTTTTGTGAATATTTATGTTACTTTTACGGAAATAATTTAAATCAAAAAAAATTTATGCATGCCTTTTATATTGCAATGTCACTTTTAAGAAATAAAAATAACAGAACACCTAAAATAATTATATTTTTATTAACCCAAAAATGTGCAAATTTTGTATTTTCATTAAATTTAGATGATAAACATAAAATTAACAAGGATTGGGAGAATGAAAAGAAACTTAGAATTCAACAACATTACACTTCTTATAATAAGGATGACATTATATGTGACAAAACCGTTGATACAAACTTACCATATAACTTAAATCCTAATATATATGCAGAATCAAATTCCTTGAATGATTATGAAAATAAAATAAATTATAAAAATATTTTAAACATTAATGATAAAGAAAATGATTTAGAAAATGAAAATAAATATATTTTAAATAATTTTGTAGACAAAGAAGACAATGAAATGAATATAAAAACGAAAAAATTACAAAATTGTGTAGATGAAAATCATATAGAGAAAAATTCAATAAAAATTAATGATGTAGAATCATGTTATAATCAAAAAGTTTTCGCAAATTCAGAAAATATTGATCCAAGTAAGACAAAAAAAAACGCTCATAATAGTGAAAACAGTAGCATTGACTTAAATGAATACTTAAAAGAAAATAAAAAAAAAAGATTTTCTATAAGTAGTTTTACAAATAACAGTGATGAATTTATAGATAACAATAATGTGATAAATAAAATTATTAAAATAACACATGAATATTCTTATGATACTAATAATTATTCATATGATAATAATAATAATAATAATAATAATAATAATAATAATAATAATAATAATAATAATAATGGTTATTTAAACATTAACAAGTTAGAAAAAAAAGTAGCCTTTAAAAAAAAAAATAAAATTTCATATGTAAAAGAGACAATTATTGAAAAAGAAGAAGAAGAAGATATTAAGATGGTTTTAGAATGTTTAGGAAATATTAAGTATAAACAAAGAAATATTTATAAAGATTTTAATAACCTGTATGAATTATCAAATTATTATAGATCAAATAATAAAGAAAATTTGTTTTATAAATATTTCTGTAATTTAACTAGTAAAAATAGTAGCTATAATAAAAAAAAAAAGAAAAAAGGTTATGATGCATATGATTTTTACGATATAAATATATATGACAAAAAAAAATTAGAAAATCATTTTTTAAAATTAAAAAAAACAAAAAAAGAATATATTGAAGAATTAATAAATTTAATATTTATAATTTATCAATTAAAAAAAATGTCTCCCTATTTACATATTTCTGATTGGATTATCATAATTTTAATAAGAACTATTAGTAGAAATAAAAATATATTGGATAGCTTTAAAAAAAAGTTATATTTTGAAAATAAGGAATATTTTGATTTATGCAATTATATTCCAAGTTTTTCAATTTCAACAAAAATACATCCTTCTATATCTTTAAAAAATTCTTCTTTTTTTTTTGTTGAAATTTTAAGAGCCCTTTTGCATTTAATTTTGGAGGGAAACATTAGAGTTTATCAAATATTTTACAAAAATACAAAAGAAGATTTAAAAGAAAAAAAATGTACTTTTCTCAATAAAAATATAAATAAAAATAATTCATTAAGTAGAATAAACAAAAAAAATTTTGATATCACTTGTGAAAAAGTAAAGGAGAAGGTTATAAACGAATCAGATATATTTACAAATAAAAATTATGATGAGAAATATGAATTATTTAATAGTGGTAATAATGATGATTATTTTTTTATATCTACTTATACCAACTATGTAGAAAAAAAAATGATATGTAGCCATATATTGAACATTTACAGTGCTTTTGAATTTAGTTATAAAATTATTAACAAGTTTCATGATTGTGAATTAGAGATGCAAATATGGAATCATATGTATCAAATTCTTCTGATATTCCAGCAAAAATATCCTTTTTTCTTTTTGCCATTTTCAAAAAATTTCGATAAATACTTTAAAGAATATCAGAAAAAAAACTTGACTATTTTTGAATTTTATTATTTATTATATGGTTTGAATAAAATTAATTCGTTTGAAAAATTTAATTTTGGTGAAACAAAAAAAAACTTATGTGACAATAATTATGATAGTGAAATTTTTTATGATTTTAATATACAAAATATTTTTACCACAAAAAATAATATTAATTTGTTTTTTTTAAAGAATAAATCATATGGGATTTATAAATATAATATAATTGGTTATGTAAAATTAGTAGACATTTTAAAATCAATAAAAAATTCAAATAAATTAAGAAAAAATTTTATACAAATAACTTACATAAAATATTTAGTTAAATATATTCATAATTTTTTACGAAAATTAATAATTAATATATCAAATACAAACACAAATTATTTTAAAAATTCAATTTTATATGATTTGAAAAATATATTTTTATTTTTTTATGGATATGGTATCCCACCTTTTAATTCAAAAAAGAATGCTAAAGTTTATAAACCTCATTATTCTCAGTAAACTTTTTAATAAATTATGTGCATATTTTTAATATATAATTTTATCATATAAAAAATATTGTTATATATATATATATATATATTTTTTTTTTTTTAAATAAATAGATTAAGTAATATAACGAGTAAAGGAGTACAAATAAATGACTTGATAAAATTTTTACGAACATATTATGATAACAAGTAAGTTTCATAAGTTGTTCATTTTCTGAAAAAATCTACATTAAAATTTTGATTTTAATTAAAAAATAGGAATATATTATATATATCCATATATTTTATTTTATTTTTTTTTTCTTTTTATTTTTTTAGTAAATTATTAGAATGGAAAAAGGTTGCATCTGAGTTTGTAAATGTTTTGATGAATATGAAGGAACTTGAATTGTTTATTGACAATCCAACCATATCGTTGCATAATTACAAGTATAGCAAATAAAAGAAATTAATTTAAAAAAATAAAATAATAAAAAAAATAAAAAACTGAATATTTAGTTAAAATATAGAAATTAATATATATATAAATTTTATTTTTTTTTTTTTTTTTTTAGTTTTGTTAAAGAAAATACATGGTTAACATTAATTAGTGCAAAATTAAGAAATGATATTTATAAATTACCTATGGATTTAAAAAGAGATATAGTTCTTTTATTAAAAAATATTCGTTCGGTTGATATGTGTTCAGGTACTAACCATTATGAATATGTTAATAATATTTTTACTGTATGTTGGTTTATAATTGTCAAAATATTTCAAAATTATGAAAAAAGTAAAAGAAATACTTGAAATATTTTTTTCTAAAGTATTTGTTTTTATACTTTTTTATTGTCTTAAGCTTATATATAAAGTTTTTTTTTTTGTCTTTTTTTTTTTTTTTTTTTTTTTTTTTTTTTTTTTTTTTTTGTATGTCTATGGTCATTTTTTTTTTTAAATAACTACATAATATTTTAGCATGTTCATAAATTTTCAAGTAATTTTTTTTATAAATTTTAAACTTTATTTAAAATAAATAAAAATTTTAATAAAAAGTAATTTTTAAGATTATAATATGTAAGAAATAAGTACTTAATTTACATTAAAATAGATATAAAAAAAAAAAAAAAAAAGGATAAGATAAAAATAGTAGTAATTTTTATAGGAATAAATTATTTACATATTAGCTTATATAAGCATAAAAATAGCTATCAATAAAACGAAGAGAAAAAGATACTAAATAGTAAAGATTAATTATTCATTATTTATAAAATATAAAATGAAGAAAAAAATAAAGAAAAAGTAGATGTTAAAATAATTTATTATTATTATCATTATTAAAAATTTATTAATATTATTATAATATAAATTACTATTAGCATTTAAACTAATATTATTAAAACATTTAGATATTTATTTTAATATTATTAATGATCGTTAATGTAATTTAAGCTATAGTAAGAATTAGTTATTATTTTTTTTTAAATATTGCACACATATTTTAAAACATATAACAAAGGAAAATGTAGTAAGAGTCATTTTAGATTTTTTATAATATAAAAAGCAAATAAATCTGTTCATATTATTAATAATTATTTGTTTCCTTTATGTATTTTATAATTTTCAATAATTTTACATAGTATTTTCTTTTATATTTATAAATTTTTTTTTTTTAATTTTTTGAAAAAAATAATTTTTTCTTTTTTATTGAAACCTTTTTATGAATGAGACAATTATTCAAAAAATTACAATACATATTTACATATATTTACATATATTTACAAATATTTACAAATATATATATATATATGTAAATGCTTTTTATTATTCTATTTAATATATTTTTTTAATTTTGCAATAAAATTTTTTTTTTTTTTTTTTTTTTTTTTTTTATATTTAAAACATTGTTTATTATTATTATTTCAATTTGTCAAAATATCATAAAAATGTAAGTATCAATAACATATCTTGTATTGTAAAATGAAGATATTAAATACATTTTAAGATAAAAAAAAAAGTAAAAAATAAAATTTAAAATTATTTCAGTAATTAATACATTATTTTCTGGTATGCATAAATAGAAGAAAATTTTATTTTAACTTTGAACAATAATCATTTTTTTTAGTTATATAATAAAATATATATATATATATATATATATATATATATATATATATATATATATATATATATATATATATAAACTAAAAAAAGTAAAATATTCTTAAAATGAATGAAATATTTTAAATAAATTGTCTTTAGCTATTTTTTCACTTATTTATTTTATTATTTTTATATAATTTCAAAAAATATGTTCTATTTTAGTAATAGATATTAATATACATATATCATCTATAAATATAATTGTTTATGTGAATTTTAAAACAATGAAAAAAAAAAAAAAATTAAAAGGAAAATAAAATAAAAATGCATTTTTATAATACAGAAAATATGTATCTACATATGAATAATCAAATTAATAATTTAGATAATACATATAATAAATATTTTAATATCAATAATACATTTGATAATAGTGAAATAACGAACTTAAATAGATATCATCTTAAAAGAAAAGGTTTTTTTGAGAATAATTTTTATGCAAATAAAAATAAAAACGATATTTTAATAAAAATGGGTCAAAAAAGTGCAAAAATACAAAAAAATTCTATATATGACTTAAATAATGATATATATAATAATAGATACAAAAATTTAAATTATAATACAAATGAAGTGAAAGGATTTAATTATAATTTGAATAATATAAAAATTTTAGATGAAGAAGAAAATTATAATGGAAATATATATAAAAATAACACTATTTATGATTTACATAATTATGGAAATATTAAATATGGGGGTGTAAATAATGAATATAAAAAGTTGAAAGCAGAAAATATTAACAATAATATAAACACTTATAATAATAATAATACGAGAAATTACAGTATAATGAAAGAATTAAATTATATTAGTAAAAATAATTTGAATGAATTGAACAATAATAACAATTTTTCTTTGTATCCATATAAGTCTAACATGAGGTATACTAACGATAATTTTGATATGGAAAAAAAGAAACTTGATAACTTCAATTATTTATATAAAAATAATACTACTATTAATAATAATTATGATATAAGTAACAATATTACAAACAAAATAAATACTAATTTAAATAGTAATATAAATACATTACATAATAATTTCAGTCAAAATATAAATAAATTAAATGGTATAAATAATAACAACTATTTAGCAAATAATTCTCATAATTTTAATAATAGTTTAACTAATAAACATAATAATATTTTAAATAATACTAAAGATAAATACTATGATATAGATAACATTATAAAAAAATATATATCAAAAGAAAGCTCTGATGAAAATACCAAGTCAAATTATGCTTATGCAAATAATGAAGCATTGAATGATATTTTAAGAAATAGCGATAATAGTGCTAATAAAAATGCATTATTATCTCATAATATATCATTATTAAAAAATAAACAAAAAGACGAAGAAGAAAAAAAGAGAGAAAAAAAAATAAATTTATTAAAAAACATAATAGTAACAAATACAAATAAAAAATGTAATATTAGTTTTAATGATGATTTTTATGATAGTATGATAAATGATAATTACAATTTAAATAGCAGTTCAGTAGTAGATTATAATGTAGGTAATATTTATAATGATATAATTAATAAAAATTATAAAAATAATAAAAATCAAATAAATAACATATATGATGAATCAAATTTAATTGATAAACTAAATGAAACACCAAGTCTTATGAATAAACAAAAATTTAAAAATGAAATTATTTTAAATGATAATAACAATAATAGTAATAATATTAATAGTGCAGATAACATTTTTGATAATTTTAATTATGATAATACATATGAAAAAATAAGAAATAATAATATGGATTATATAAAAAATAAAGATAATAATTATGATTTTCATAAAAATAATATAAATATGTATGATAATCTAAAAAGCAAAATAAATAATACATTAGGAAATTATCAAAATAATATTAAAGATTATAATACTCATGATTATTATCCCATTAGTAATAAATTACCCATTAATAAAAATCCAAATAGACAAAACTTTGGTAGTATATTTGAAAATAAAACTTTTAATGATATAAATGATAAAATTAATAACAATTGTATTGATAATTTAAATAATAATTTATATGATAAATATAATTATGATATTAATGATAAAATAAATAATGACTTGAATAACAATTATAATGATAAATTTAGTAATAATATTTTTGGTAATAAATTAAACAATAATGTTAATAACAATTTCAATAGCAATTTAAACAATGGCTATATAAATAATATTAACAACAGATATAATAATAGTTTAAATACCAAATTAAGTAATATGAATATATTTGATAATTTTAATAATGATAAACTAAATCTATTAAATGAAGATAAAAATAACAGTAATTTAAATGAAAATATTTTTAAAAATTTTAACCAAGATAACTTTACAATATATAATAGAAGAAATTCTCTTTCAAAAAATACATACCTTCCATATGATGATTTCAGTAATTTTAAAGATGATAAAACTTTTAATTACATGAATAAAAATGATCCTATTGATAATATTGTAAAAAATAATAATATAAATATTTTTAGAGAAAGCATAAAAAATAATGAAAATTATATAGGCAATAATTATTTGAACAAAAATAATGATTTAATTGAAATAAATAAGATATTTGATAAAAATAATAGTGACATTAAAAGAAATAATGTAAACACTTATGAAAACATTTTTAATATCAATAATAAAAATAAGAGGTTTAATTATGATGATAAAATATTTATGAATAAACAAGAAGAACATAATACATATGATAAGGAATTTTTGAATTTAAATAAAATGAATAATTTAAATTATGATGATTCTGTTTATAAAAAACCTTTAAGTTATATAGAAAAAAATAGTATAGATAAGAACATTTTTTTAAATAATAAACGTGCATTTCCTTACGATGATGATAATTCTAAAAATAAGAATACTAATTTAAATAATTTAATAAGTAATACAGATAAAAACTTAATTTATGAAAATTTCAATAACGTATTTTATAGTAAGAATAATTCTGAGCTTAATTTAAATGATGCAAAAATGAATGCAATTTGTTTTAACAAAAAAGATAAAGATATTGTTGATTTAAAACATAATTTCAATTTCCTAAATGATAAAAATAATAATTTCGGTTCTCATAATATTATTAACAAAAATACTAATGATACTAATATTTATAATTTAAAAAATAATGAACAAAAAGATAACAGAATAATAAATACGTTAAATAACTTGAATGAAAAAATAAATAGAAATATACCTAGTAATTTGAACACTTATATGATAAGTAAAAAAGGTAATGAAGAAATGTTAAATAAGGATGACAGTTTTTTTCACAAATATAACAGACTATTGAATAAGGGAGAAAATGATGATCCTTTAAATAAAAACAGAACATCATTGAATTATGATATAAACAAAAATGATATATTTGAAAATAAAAATATATTTAATAATAATTTAAATATTTTTAATAATTTTAACAGAATTGAAAATGAGAATTCTAATAATAATTTAATAAAATATGATAATGATATTAAAGAAAATGTTGTAGGAAATATCGAAAAAGATATTAATATTAGTAATGTTAAAAATCTATTTATTAATTCAAATGAACAGCAAAATAAATATTCTAATTTAATAAGTAGTATAAACAAAACAAATATAAAAGAACATACTAACAATTTAAATTATAACAATAAATATCTATCTAATCAAAATAATGCATTCAATTCAAATATTAATAAACAAGTAGTTAATAAAGCGTTACCACCACTACCTTTTAAAAGTACTTATAAGCCTAACTTAAATATGAGTCAAACAAAACTAAAGTTTTATGAAAATAATAAACGATCAAATAAAATAGATAATATTGATATAAATTTTAATAAAATAAATGATATGGAAAACAATAATACTTACATGAATCATTTTAACATAAGTAGTAATTATAATATAAATAATGATGATACTAATATTTACAGTACTAATATTAATGATTTTAATAATTTTAATAATATAAAAAATAAAAATAATATAAACAATATAAATAAAATAAATGATTTTAATTTTAATGATAAAATGAGAAATAAAAGTATAAATTATAATTCATTTAAAGAAAATTTAACAACATTAAAAGAAAAAAATATTTCAAATAAATTCTGGAATGAATCTCCAGGTATATTTAAAGATAACAATGACTTATTATTAAGAGATGATATTAAGAACGCAAATGAAATAAAAGAATATAGCTTAAAAAATTTAAATAAATTCAATAATAATTATTCTGATCAGTATAATGTAAATGAAAATAATCAGAATAATAAATTCTTTTATGATAATACAAAGAATAAATATAGCAATATTAATAATAATAATATATTTAATAATGCATTTTTAAATAACAATAACATTTTAAATACCCATTTGAATAATAATGTAAAACTTGAAAGAGAAGAAGAAAATATAACAAACAAAAAACAGAATAGCTTAAATTTTGGTATTCTAAAGAGTAATTATATTAATAGTAATAATGATAAAGTTATATCTCTTAGTAATAATATTTCTATGTTATTAGAAAAAATAAGTGATGATTCTGATAAAAAAAATAATATAGACTATTTACAGAATAATTATTATGATTTAAATAATATGAATAATGACAATGTTTTATGTGTTAACACGATAAATTATAACGATAATTTAAATATAGATACAAGTAATTTTGTTTTATCAGATAATTATTTATGTCACTTTGGTTTATCAACTTTATATAGATGTAAATTAAAAAATGAAAATTTTTCTTTTTTAATTAATGTTATTGATTCTTTTTATTTAAATAGTACAAATGGCAATGATACTGTTGCTAATAATATTCTATTTCATAAAAGATTAAGACATTTAAATATTTTATCATATAAAGGAAAGACAGCTGATAAAAATAAATTATATTTATTATTTGAAAATATTCATGGAAACATTTTAAAATCATATTCGACTCCTTTTGAAGAGAGTATTATTGCATCTTATGCTTATCAAATAATTGACCTACTTGAATATATGCATAATAATTTTATAATTTTTCATGGTAATAATGAAAATATAAATACATATAGAGATTTAATAATAATAATAATAATAATAATAATAATAATTAGTATTAATATATAATATTTTAAGAAAGTCACATAGATATTTTATAACTTTGTAAGATTTATATATTTTTTACAATCCTTTTTTTTTATATTTTTATATAGGTTTACTTTCACATATAATAATTGTACAAAAAAATACGAGAGAAGAATTAATACAGATTTTAAGTGAAAAAAATAAAAATATAAGTAAATATTTTGATATTTATAAGCATGGAATTATTAAAGTATTTAATTTTGATTTCGCTAATATAGATGCAAGTAAAAGAATTTTCTTTAAAATTATATTAATTCTTTAGTGATATATATATATATAGACTATTTTTTTTTTTTTTTTTATAGATGAAAAAGATTATGAATTTGACTTTTTTTGTGTAGCAGTTTTAATATATGAAATGTGTACCAAATATAATACCTACTATTCAAATAAAACTGTAAAAATATATATATATATATATTTATATACATATTAAAATAAGAAGTTTATTTTTAAATTATTTTATTTAAAATTCTTCATAGTATAATTTATTTTGTTATTTATTCTTTTATAGGAGGATATTGTAGAAAAGATCCATAATACTAATTTTTTATTTCCTCATTTTGTCTCTTTTGAATTAAAAAATTTTTGTTTTGAAGTAAAAAAGTAAAATTAAAATTTTCTTTTAATATATATATATATATTTTTTTTTTTTAATTTTTTTTTTTTTTTTTTAGTTATGTTCTAAAAGAAAACATTGTTTTAATGATCTTAAAAATCATCCATGGTTCAAAAAAAATTTCAATTTTTAAAAAATACATATATATAGTTTGTTCAATTTCTATTTATTTGTATTTTACAATTCTTTTGTTTTTAATGCATATTTTTTTTTTTTTATTTTATTTTCTTTCCTAAACTTAGAATATAACAAAACTTTTTTTTAAATAACTTTTAAATTAAAAAAAAATTTTGAAACCAATAAAAAAAAAAATTTTTTTTTTTTTATTTCATTTCTTACTAGTTAATCTTATTTTATATTATCACTAATTATATGTTTTTTTTTTTTTTTTTTTTTTTTTTTTTTTTTTTTTTTTTTTTAAATTTACCATTTTTTTTACAC